TAATAAAGCACAAGGACAAACTCTAGACAGAGTAGGCATATTCCTACCTGAACCCGTTTTTGCACATGGTCAGTTATATGTTGCTTTCTCTCAAGTTTGAAGAGCATGTGACGTTAAAGTTCTAAATACTTTATCACAAGGGAAATTAGTTAAGCACTCTGAAAGTGTTTTCACTCTTAATGTGGTATACAGAGAGATATTAGGATAAGTTTAATCACTTTATCAGTCATTGTCTGCATCACTGTTGTTTTTATATCATGTTTTTGTTGTTTTCATATGTTTTATATCATGCCTCTGTTATATCCTTTTGTTACTGTTTATTTATTAATAAATTTCTGTATTCTCATACATTTTAGTAATTGCCTTTCATCTCACACTTCTGTTATAAAGGGCAAATAGCAATATTAAAATATTTCCTCTAATTAATTCCCTTTTAATGTGCATGAATTTCATGCACCAGGCCACTAGTTTTTAAATTAAATGTGAACATTGAGTATAGCAGTATTTAGTAGGAGCTCAAAGGTTAGCTTTTTATACCATTTCATGGATTTTCGTAACGGATTATTATAGGTTTGATCAGATATATCAACTGCTGCTTTTCCTGCATTATAATCCACTACAGTTTTTGGTTTCAAGTAGTGACCTGATCTGTTTTCAGCGTTCACCATCTCTGATGAATGTTTTGTTGAGAGAAGATACATTACAACATTAGTTGGTGTCGTATTTTTTTCTAAACTTTTCCCTGCATATACAGCGCTAAATTGAAAGGAAGACAAAAGCAGGCTTGGCGCTTAACGTGTTAGTTTTGTTGGTTCTGTTCACTTTGCGGGGTGCTTTGAAAGGATAATTGTCATCTGTCAGCATGTGGGGCTGAAGAGATGTGGGGATGCTAAAATTTCTATGCTGCTAAAGGGACAGTAGGATGTCAGAAGATTGCTCTTTGTTTAACATTGCCTTACTGCGTTGCTGCCCAAAGCCTTCAATGTAAGACTGACTCTGGCCCCTAATCTGCAAGATTATTGGGGAGGTCATAGGTCACCTTGAAGAGGAAGTCTTTGTTGTGTTTCTGTCAACATGAATTTTATTAGAGGCTCGGTGCATGCAATTCATGCACGGGTAGGGCCCCTAGGCCATGGCTGGGGCCTTCCTTCCCTGGCTGCTGGTTGACAGCTGTGGCCTTCCTTCGTTCCACACCGCCCCCTGGTGGTCAGTGCACGTCATTGTTAGTGACCAAACCCCAGGTGTCCGGGTGGAACTCCTGAGGGAACAATTTGCATATTAGGCTTTTATATGCAGTCTATAGGTTGCTTTGTTCACAGTACATATTAAATAGTGCCCAGCAACCGTGAGGCCGTGATGTAGAAAATGTCATAGGCGGGTGCTTTTTTTCTTGTAGGACTCTGAGGATTAGGTGGAAGCACAACTGGAACAGAAACACTATTATTAGTGAGTGGAAAACTGCAGTAGCCTTCGCCAGCTTGGCTCCGTGGACAGCATCGGCCAGCGGACCATAGGGGCCCGGGATTGATTCTGCCCTAGGGCATGTACCTCAGTTGCAGTCTCTTCCCCAGCCCAGGCCCTGGTCAGGACTCATGCAGGAGACAACCAATTGATGTCTTTCTCTCACATTGATATTTCTGTCTGTCCTTCTCTTCCACTCTCCCTAAAAACCAATGGAAAAATAGCCTCAGGTGAGGATTAATAAAGAAGAAAAAAAAAGGGGGAGGGTGCTTTTTCTGAATGTTCATCCACAAATCTTGCAGACACTGGCTTCTGTGATCTGTGGTTACACACAGTCTCAGGGCCTCCACCACTATTTCCTGTAGCTGAGGTTATT